TCAGGAATATCTTTATAAATATATGTATCTGATTTGAAAATAAGAACTTCTTGACCATTTAACTGCTAATTCTCTTGACAGTATGCAATAATAGCTAAATGATTTCAACTGGTCCTCTATTATTAAGTTAAGGACTTCAGAATCTACTTCCAGAGAAATCTGCTTATATCCTTTTTAGGAAAAAAAATATTTATTTATTTATTTTTGTGTAGAAGAACTGTGGTGTAGGCCAGAGGTAGTTGGGGGGGGAGTGAGAGGAATCACCATAGACAGACTGGGGAGCAGAATAGGCAGATCTACTGAAATGCACTGCTGAGGGGAGCAGTAGGCAAGACAGAAGAGGTCTGCTGCACCATGTGGGTAGCTCCCTGGCTGGGGATGGAACTCAGGCCCAAGAGGTGGGTTATGGCAGTAATAGCACTGAGATTTAACCCCTAGGTCATCAGGGAGGCCCTGGACTTATTTTCTTCTAAGACAACAAATTCTGAGCTAGCAAGCATGTAAAGGAAACTTGCACACAACCTGGGAAAACATGACTTCATTCTAACATGAAAAAGCAAAAAAAAAAAAATTTTATGGAATCAAACTTTTCTTGAGTCTATCAGACAACTGTGGTCAACCTGCAAAAACCAGCATGAAATACACTAAAGTACCACCAAGCACAGAGTGGATACATTAGTTGGCTTATAGAGGCAGAGGAGGAAGCCAGATACTTACACCAGAAGAAAAGCAAATATCAGCTAAAATTTTAAAAAATTGCTGCCACTGATGAGTGAATGCATATGCACTACCCTGACAGTACATGAAACATGGAAGCCACAAACAAGGGAAATTCACTTTCCTCACAGGCTCTTACTGACGACCTTACCTGGCACTCTTGAGAAAATTCAGGGCAAGCAGAGACTGAACAAGGCCCCTCTCAGCAGTGCAGGGCTGGAGCAGAGAAAGCAGGAAAGTTATAGGGTCCCACTGTTCTTTCTGTCACAAAATATGGGTTCTGATGTGCTGCTCACTCATGGGCACCTGTGACCTATTTGCTATCTGCAAATCACAGCAGAGCGTTCCTTGACTACTGATGGAGAATAGCCCATACCACCTGGCAGGCCTGGGAGTGCTGAGGCCGCTGTTGACCGGATTACATAACTATCTCCATGGCGGGCTCAGGATAACTCTGCCTGTGATAACATGAGCACATATATTTTGCTAATGCAAATGTCTCGATCTATGTTCAAGATGTCTCTTTCTCTGTTCCCCGTAACATTTTGTCCCCTTTGCCTCCCGTACCTTATTCTTCATACCACTGTCACATGATCAGTTCTTACTAGCCTATATGCTTTCAGTAAAAGACACAAGATCTTCTGCTCAAGTTGCACAGTCTTGCCTTACAAATCTCCTCCATGACTGTTGTGTCCCTTATCGCATCCCCAGCGCAAAGCAGCCACAATGTTTCTGCAGCAACAACTAAAGAATAAAAAATGTAAGATACAGAACGAAGAGGTGAAAACTCCATGATGGTCTCAGGTGTCTTCCAGGACAAAGATGAAGACAGTGTAGCTTGGGAATTTATAAAAATTTAAAATATTTTACCCCGGAGGAGGGGGATATTGCAGAGAAAGCCTCACCAAGAGGCCTAGGAAAATAATGAGAAATCAGCATCCCCTTTGACTCCTTGCAGGCTAGCAAGCTCCAAGTAATGATCATCATGTGTCTCCGTGGGGGAAGTGTAAGGGCATAAAAAAAGTACAAGCACGGGGCAAAGATTAACTATAAAGGTGTAGCATGAAGATCAGGATAAACCTTCTGGAAATCAATCACTTCATTAAGCAAAATGCAACAGAAGAATTTAAGATTGATGGTAAACTGAAAGTAAGCAAGGAAGCAACAAAACCCAAGTGTTGTTCTACTGTTGACTAGGTTGGCTCAACTAAGCCCGGAAGCCAACAACTTGTTGGAATAAGAGTAATGCCCATTTCCAGGTGAAACTATTGTTATCTCCATATTTAACACACTATGCTGAATATCAATCAAAATTGGAGGACACACAATAAAGAAAAGCACTGTTAAGAATCAAAACAATGAACAGAATCAGACTCCAAGATGAACAAAATACTGGGAAAAACAGGGATTTTATATTAAATCTGATTAATAGGATAAAGACTGGTGAAAAGGTGGACAATGTGAATAACCAATAAACAGAAGAGAGATGAAAATAGCAACAGAGACAAGGAAACTATAAGAAACAGCCAAATCATAATACTTGAAATTAAAAAAATGTGTAACAGACAGAAATAGTAATTGAAATATAAGTATGCCTTGGAAGTCTCATCAGCAGATTCACAAAGCTGGAAAAAGAACTAATATACCTGTGGATATGACAACAGAAATTATGCAAACTAACATACAGAAAGAAAAAGTAGGGGAAAAAGGAAACTCAGGACAGAACATCTAAGGACTGTTAACAATATCAAAGGTCTAACACACATGCAATTCTCCAGAACAAGAAGAGAGAGAAAATAAGAGGAATAATTATCTTTTAAGAGAGATAATGGTGTTATGGAAAGCTATCTGCCTGGGTAGAAAGGACAAATTGCACTCTAAGGTCAAGCAGGTACAGGTTTATTGCCTATCACACCAGCGGGCACCAGACTGGAGGGGTCTCCAGAATCTGAGGCGCTGAGTATACACAAAAACTTCTTTTTATACAGTTACTTTCACATAGGTTACATGGGTAGTTTACAAAGGAAAACAGACTTGCTTACCGTATTTACTGGCTATTTTGTTTTTTTTCCCCTTTCAGTGGCTAAAACCATATTATTACAAATAATGAAAGACTACAAAATAATCAAACCACAACTCAGAAAGTTCAGAGAATGGCAAGGCAGATGAATACCTAAAAACATGCCTGGGACACACATTATTCAAATGTTGAAACGAGCAGTAAAGAGGAAATCTTAAAGGCACCCAGAGAAAAAAGTCACATTTCATTGAGGAAAAAAAAGAATTACGGCAGTTTTCTTTTCATTAATTTTAAAAGACAGAAGAATAAGTATGCAAAAGCTTTCAGTCCAGAATTGTGTATCCAATAAAAATAAATTGAACAATTAAAAAACTTTTAAAGAAAGCCAAGGTAAATGAATATACGGTATACTTTTTCTTTTTAATTTCTTTGGAAAATGACTGTTTCAAGTAAGAAAGCTGTCAAATATTTTTGTGTATAGTGGATGTAAGTAAAGGAAAACAAGTAAAAATAATATAATATGTGGGATGGAAAATAATATGTGGAATTCTAAGTATACCATTTTAAGTATGTCCCTAGGCATACAGTGGAAAATACTCTTTGAAGGAAAACTATGATCAATCAAAGATATTTAGTGTAAATCCATTGAAAACTACTAAAATAATAAATAAAAAGAAAATAAATAATAAACAAATAGCTACTTAGCTATTTAAAAAAAAGATGATTTCTTGCCATTCGTTACAACTTAGATGCAACTGGAGGAGATAATGCTAAGCAAAATAAAGCAGAAAGAGAAAGACCATACCAGTCGTTTCTCTAGAAACAAAATAGTCAGACATCAAACCAAAACCAAACCTTAAAAAAACTGTAAATGTGTTTAAGTGATAAGCTTTAAATAACCTATAAATATAAGAAAAACCTCAAAGGAAATAAATTATTTTGAGACCCATAAAAACAAAATATGCCTTATGAAATTCACTGGATTTTAAAGCAATCCTTGGAGTGAAATTAAAATTACATATACAGGTATACCTCAGAGGTATAGAAAGTTCATTTCTAGACCCACACAATGAGCAAATATCACAATAAAGCAAGTCACATAAATTTTCTTATTTTCCATATCCAAAATATAACACTTATGTTTTGGCTAAAATTATGTATTAGCTTGGTTTAAGTTATGCTCTGCATATAAAAATTCTGTTTACACTGTAGTCTATGAAATATGCAGTAACATTATTTCATAAAAAAAGACTTTATTGCTAAAATATGTTAACCATCATCTGAGTAATTGAAAAAATGGCAAATATTGAAAAAAGGTTGAAAATCAATAATCTAATCATCTAGATCATGACTAAGAAAAACACAAATTAAGAGTAGACTATATTTTTACAGTTTAAATACAAAAATTCCTGAAATAGAGGATTCCTAGACCAAGATGCTAGTATAGAAGGTTCTTGAAACTCTTTCTTCCTAAGGACACAGGAAGATAGTGTTTCCCATGGAGCAACTCTCTCCAAGAGAAATCCAAAATCCAAAACCTAGTTCATAACTCCTACATTTCAGATGAGAGAGAGAGAAAACAGAGACACACTCTTGCAATAAACCCTATTGTAGCACAGTGTCCAGAGAGAACCCCAATTCACAGATTCCCCCAGAGAAGAGACCTGTTTCTAATAGATAGCTTAGTAAAAATTGAGATGTAAAAATTAACACCTAAATCATAGTGTTGTTAATCAATGTTACCTCAATAAAAAATAACATAATTTTTAAAAAAGAAAGAAAAAAAATCTGAGAGGTAAAATAGCAATGAAAATAAAATTTATATTTTAAGAATAAAAGATTTATAATGCTAATATGTAGATAATTCCCTTTTTTTAAAAAAAAGTAAAAATCCAATTAGCAAAAGTTAACAAAGCTTAAGCAGACTTTACATAAAAAATGACATCCAAATGACTAATAAATATAAGTCTCAACATCATTAGTCATCAGAGAAATCCAATTTATAAAGATAATGATGTATGACTACATACCCACTAGAAGTTAAAATTAACAAAACTGACAATAGCAAGTCTTGACAAGGATTTGAAGCAGCTAAAACTTTTGTACAATTTCTGCAGTGTAAATTATTACCAGTTAGGAAATTGTCTGGAATTATGCACATACTCTATAAGTCAGCAATTAATCTCTGAGATATAAAGCCCATCACCCATCCATTCACACATATATGCCGTAAAATAAACTATCAAAAACGTTTTAACAGTGCTTCTTTTAATAGACAAAATCGGAGATAGTCCAAATTTCCACCCACAGTGGAATATGTAAGGAAATTCTTTGTTGTATACATGTACATGAATATTATAAGACCATGAAAACAAACTACTTCTATATGCAACAAAATAACACTCACATGTGTAGTGTTAATTACACAGAATGGAAACTGGGTACAAAAATAAACCATTCATGAATTCATTTATATGAATATCAGAGCAGTCAAAACAATTCTTTGGTGATAAACATTGAATAATAGTTATCCAGTGGGTACTGTTGGGGTGAAACATGAATGAGGCTTCTGGGAAAGTTGTTAATACTCTTTATCAATGCTCTTTATCTTGATTTAAGTGTTAGTTTCATAGATGCATTTAATTCTACACTTGAGATGTGTGCAGAGATCTATCTATCTACTGTATCTGCTAATTCAATAGGCAAATTCCCCTGACCTGGTATAACAAATAATGAGGGATACCTTGAAAAGTGAAGAAAGACAGGTACAGGAAGATGTTTGTAGTACATAATATTTGTGTCAAAAAAAAATTAAGAAAACGAGACTATACATTTGTTTCTTTTTACATTTACATATGATAAATACATATAATTCTTGTAATTAATGTCAGGAAGTAGGGAACTGAGCAACAATGATAGGGTGAAATGACACAATCCACATATACCTTTAATACCATTCTGACTTTGAACAAGGTTAATAAATTCCCAATTTTAAAAATATCTTTTATACATAAAGGTTCCATAGATGAAAATAGCTCTTTGTTACATTGACTGCACCTCCCATTCAGACCATCCCAATTTTGTTTGTGATGGCATAGGGTATTCAGAAATGTAGAAATGATTTGTTATTGAGTTCTGCATGAGAGAAGGTGGCAGGGAGGTGTGCAACTTCCATAAGCAAAGATTTACACTAAATGTTTTGGGTTGTTAGTATTTGTTTTGACACTGCTTTCACTAATTTACATTGCTGAAATGCCTCCCTACATTTTAATGAATGTTCAACTCTTCAGCAGCATCTTGGGGTATGTCACTTCATGTTCCTTCCATCTCTGCCATCCATTCAGAGTAGCACTTTTCCACAGACATCTTACAGCCCTGTATGTTCTGATTCAGTGGTTTGATGGATATTCTGCTGTCATTGATTTATAGCAACTGCATGAAAATGACAAAAAGCAGCGACTTTTTTTTAAAAGCAAAATTGTTTTTGCTAGAGGCAATGTTCCCATTTTTGTGCTTGGCTCATGCAGGTCTGACTTCCATTTGCTGCTTTGGCTCATGCCGTTTAGTAACACTAGGTCTTGAGTGCAGAGCATATCTTGACCATGAAATAACAGAAGCAGAAGGGAACTTGAAAGGTCTTAACAATAATTTCACTTTACAAATTGTTTTCCCAAAGAAAGGCAAGCTCTCTGTGCTGCAGGAAGTTTTATTTTCATTTAGAGAGGAAGAAATGTGGGACAGAAGAGATAAAAGATCAGGGTTACTCCTAGAAAGAGAGCATGATTTGGGATTTGAGGACCCCTAGATCATTGGGCTCTTCACCACATACTTGTTCTGAAAACATATCTGGCTGGGCAACTCTGCTTAGTGCCATCGAGGTATACTCTTGACCTCCTATTAAGCCTTTTAAGAGAGCTTTGAATGTGGTGAGGAAAAAAATAAAATAGCACTCACTACTGACTCAATGTAAGCTGTTAGTTTTTGTGAACAGTTTAATATGGGGCATTGACTTGGAAATTGACTATCTTGTGAAGAGATGTGGTCCGGATAGAACACTACTTTGCAGGAAACAGAATTTCCTTCTTTGCTATTACTACTTTTCAATGATATGTTTCTCACTGAATTTGTTGATTCAAATGGTAACAAATTAATCAGTTTCATCGTTGACTCTGATCTTTCCTTTAAAGTCTGCAAGTGTTTTAGAATTTACTTCGTTAACCCTTGTCTTTGAATGAGTTGTGATTAATTTAAAGAAAATTGTTTTGCTTTTTTCTTATTTGGGACAAATGTTTAGGATATTTCAATTAAATAAAAAGGAAAATAAAGCCATTTAGTTTTATAACAAAGGAAAGCATATATACAAGAATATTAAGTGTTGCATGGATATATATGAGTAATGGGGGATAGTTACAAGACACCAGTATTGCAGTCCTCAAAGGAGCAGAGCAGTAAGTGTCATTAGGAAGCTAGCTCCTGAAGGACTGTGCTGAATTTCCAAGTCTTAATGAATTACAGCTTACAAAGGGAAGCTGATGATGGTGAAAACATCAGATGGAGTCACATCAGGTAGGTGCTGGGCACTGCATTAGAAAGAGAAGATTTGAATTCCCAGTCTAGTACTGTTACAAACTAGCCTGTGACCTAAACTCTTAAAATTTATTTCCTTTATTTCTAAAGCAAATGATTATGACTTACTTTTAAGGTCATAATCACACCTCCTGTAGGAAAAAACAACAACAACAAAGCTTTCCATATAGAGTTAATTAAAAAAAATGAATTTTGAGATGCAGGCTAAATTAATCAAGGTTTGTAATGACACCCTGAGGAGGTAGTCAAGGGCATTTGCTATATTGCCATGATTCTAGGCCTGGTTTTGATACACTTAGTGACTTTAGGCAAATTTATGCATTTCTGTAGAAAATAAATTCATTTTCTGTGCATGCTAGTTGGGATAGCTGGTCTCTGAGTTTTCCATCTATAATAATATCTGTTATCTCTTCACTTTTTTTCCCAGCAAAAAACCTCAAGTAAATAACCCGAATCCCCAAACACATAGATGTAGTTTCCAAAGTATTTCTTGGAAGAGATTGATAGGAATATACCAGAATGAATCAATAAACAGGTATTATTCATGGAAATTGCCTGAAAAAGACCTATCCCATTCGAACAGTGATTTATCTGACTTTATAAAAACTAAACATAAGTCTAAACCTCAGGTAAAATCATTTATTTTCTATGGACCATTATCTAGTAAGAAAAAAATGAAGGATAGGGGAGAGTAGAGGGTTAGGATGGGTAGTTCTACCAATTGGACTAAATGGAGAGTTAATTATTAAATGTTTGCATATTCATGATGAATATGACTTGAGTTATGAGTGAACTATTAAAAACAAAGATTTTACCCAACCAATTATCTTTTCTTTCTACAATGTAAAGCACAAACTTGAAAGGACGAGGAATACTTTATTTGATGAAACATACAGACAGATGAGTTTAGCTAATATTTTTAAAGTACTATCATTATTGTAACTCTAAGCAGATAAATCGTCATAATTCTTATTAATGTTGTTTACACTATAATTGGTTTGTCTAAATTCTAATTACAATAAATTATCATGTTTTACTTTTTATTAGTTTTCATAATGAGAGTGAAAGAAAGAACATTATAATATAGAAAAGCACTCAGAGGGAAAATTAGTGCCATGTCCAAAAGTATTATTTCAGAAATTTATTTCAATGTGATATTCACATTAAGGTATCTTGTCAGTCCCCATAGTACCTCCGTGAATTATTAAGTTGTTTGTCTTGAAATCCCTAGTGATACGTGGGGAAAGAGCATAGTGTTTTTAGAAATTTTCCACAGCCACACATTATGTTGAAATGAGACTGGGAATAGAGTTTACCTTTGATATTTTCCTTCTACAGTCCAGTGCCAAACACCAGGCCCTAGAAAGAGTAAGTTCTTAATAAGTAATCATTCAATGAAGGAATTAATGGATAAACCATTCTGTTCTATGAAATGTAAAAACAATCATATTTTCTCTTTATTCCTTCATTGATTAAATTGTACATGCTGGAGGGGCAGTCGTGAAATAAATTTTATTCACTTTGCTGCCCACAAGTTTCCATTGTCACTTGGAGGGGCTTCAGAAGATAACATCATCTGGTCAGCTACACCCTTCTCAGCCCCCACCCCCCACAAGGAGTATCATTAATTTTGGTTCATTGTATTGTCGGCTTTTGTATGTCAGTTAGGTCTGTCAGCATTTGGCCAAGGCCAACTTCTTTAACAAGTCACTGAAAATTCATGATTAAAAATGAACATTACTATTGTTCTAGTCTTGTGATTTTTTATTTTTAGTAAAACAATCTTCTATATTTTGGACCTAATGAACTTAGTTGCAGTCCTTGGAAATAAATAACTTGGTTAATATGGACTCTGGCTGTCAGACAGTGCTGAAGATAATTATAATGCCAGAAAGGATAATTCAATTTATTTCCTGAGTTAATCTGTCATAAGTTGAGTTGCAACTGTAAACATGATAAAAGTCACAGTGGCATGACTTTGAGACTTGATAAAAATGCAGTAAAGAACACAAATGTTTACATCACTCAGAGACTCAAGGAGGAAAAAACCATAACAGTCATTCCCAGTGATGCATCATTAAGTAAGTTAAAAAATATTCTTTTCATTGGTACTGATAACCAATTACCAAAAACACAAGTAAGACATCTCATGAAGCACGTATGGTCAAAATGTCTTTAACTTTGATAGCATTCATATTTTACCCTTATAAGACAAAAATATATTTAACTTCAAGGAACAATTCTCTTAATAAGATAGGAAAATATTTTTGCATCTGCCACCCAAATTTAGTGACTGATCTAAAATTTCACCCAGGTGACATTTTCATTATGTCAGAGTCTGGAGAAATCTGAATATTCTACATCTCATTTGCTTATAATCAAACAAATGATTCACCAAACATGTCTAATTGGATGGTGTGTTTCCACTAGAGTGAATGTCCTCATTGTAATTCAAGACAGATCTTAGAGATAAGATCAATCAAACATTTCTATTCCATGTTGTACTGTCTAAAGTCCAGAGATATTTTGGACTCTAGGAGGATTACAAGGAACATAAAGCATTCTTTGGTGTGGTTGTTGCCCATTCTTAGAGCATAGTCATAATTCAGATAGAAATAGACATAAGTAGAATTAAACTATTAAGCATTGACTCAGTGGTTAGATGGAATTTAGATAGCCACACGATGCAGAAGAGTAGCTTTTACATAAACTCCTCTATCCTTTAAGCTGAAAGCATCATCTGTGTTTTTATTTAAAAATAAATATGCAACTGAAGCCAGGAATTCATTTTGGAATTTCTGTCAATTACATTTAAAAGACCATTATGGAGCAAACTTCAATTTGTTCACGACCCTATAGTGAGTGGAAATAGGGAAATGTAAGCAGCCATGCCCAACAAACATGAGGAACAGGTCCTTGAGCACCAGACCCTTCCACATGTCTGTTTATCATTCCATCCCTCTGCCCACCTTTTCTTGCTATACCAGGCAGGAGAGAAAATAATTTCAAAGAAATTTCCTGAAATACATGATTTTCATGGCCTATTTTCATAGTCTTAAAGGATTCATCAGGGCCATGTGTGCGTCTATTGTCCTTGTTGCTTTTCAGTGGGAGAACCATGTTGGCCAGAGGTCTCTCCAGGGCGCTGGGCAGGACTGACAGGGAACTGAAATCCATAGCCGTTGTAGCCATCCAAGTAGACACATTGGAAGAAGCTGATGGGGTCTAGGGAATAGAACATGATGGTTAGTTGAAACATACAGAATATGAGTGGGGACAGAAGTAAAGGGCAGTGAGGAGGCCTGTAGAGCAGATATAGACATGGGCTCTGCGGCAAGATTCCTCATGTGAAAAATCAGGACAATACCCTCATAGAAATGTTGTGGAAAATAAACAAATTAAGGGCCTCTCTGGTGGTGTAAGGGGTTTAGCACAGTACTATGAAGCTGTGTGCAACCTCTGTAGCAAGAATCCAAACCTGGCTGGCCTGGGAACTAGCCACAGGGCGCAGCAGACCTCTCCTGTCTTGCCTGCTGCTCCCCTCAGCAGTGTATTTCAGTCAGTCTGCCTGTTCTGTCCACCGCTCTGTCTCTGGTGAATCCTCTCACCCACTGCACCTCTGGCCTGCACCCCAGTTCTTGTATGCATAAATAAATAAATCTTAAAAAAAACAAATTGAAATATGTGAAGCATTTAAAATCCTTCCTAGTACATAATAAGATTTGTAATAAATGATATTTTAAAATAGCCTTGCATAGAAATTTAAAGTGCTTAACTCATGGAACTGTATTGATATACACAGCTTTAGAAAATCTGTTATATAGTATCAGGTCTCAAAACATAGATTTATCAATATGCAAAGTAACTTTTTTATTAATACCACAGGGAGTCTGTGTTTCCTGAAGTTTGAAGTGGTCCATTTGCCCTTACTCTAGAAGCAAGCACGCCCTTGATGCCACAGTTACTCTCTGAGGCAGGGCTTCCAGGTCACCACTTTGTGGTTGGAACAGAAAGCAACAGAGAAAGGAGTTACAGCCTTGGGGGAGGCAGTGTAGACAGTGGACACAATATGAGCTCTGGACCCAGTACACCTATGTTCCCAGGTAGCGGCTTTGCTAAGAGATGGTGAATTTTAAGTTTTTTCATAATCAAGCACTCCTATTGACTGTTCATTTTTCTATCCTATCCATTTGCATTCTATCAATTAACCAGTATTTGCTGTATGAGGAAAGAGAGTTGGAATTGAAGCTAGTGGTATGCACCAGATGGGGAGAATGACCAAATCTCTATGTGCCTAAGGGCTTGTGAAGGGGAATAAAGCAGTGCATGGGTAAAAAGGAGTAGAGGCCAGCAACAGGGTTATACTGATTTCATAAACCTGGATATCAGCTGTCTTCAATTACTGGGTTTTCAGTGATGAAAATAGTTTGGAGAAATCTTGAATTTAGCTTTGCTCCTTTCCACTTCATCTCATCCAGAATCATTTCATATATTGTTATAAACTCAAAGAGAGGCAATAACACAACCATTTCAACCCCCAAAATTCTGGGCACATGGGGATTATACAGGCTACAGAGAGGGGTGGTAATAAACATGGGCCTGCATTAAGGGGAATTGGCAACAACAGTACTGAAAGCAGAAGAACCCATCAATGACGAGCTAACATCCTGCAGAAACTTCCCAGATGTGGACATCTCTCTGCCATTTATTTGCTCAATGTCTAATAAGCTATTTAAAAAAAACACATTATATTCATGGATTTTAAAATGTATATAAGAGGTTTGAGAATATCAGACTATAAAACTATAATGCAAACATTCAGACCCCAAAATTCTGGAAGCATGGAGATTGGACATCTTATATTAAGGTGAGCAAAGAAAATAATGGTTTGCTATAGTGACTCCCCCAAATTTCAAGTGTTTATGTGACAGTCAGAAATTTTTACTAGTAGGTTCATGACTAGAAAAGTCTTGTGTAAATCAAAAAACATGCTCCTATTGACTTTATCGATTTTGCAACAATATCTAGAAGTATTATTAAGACTGATTATTTCCCTATATTTATGAAAGCCTACAATGGGTATAAAAAGTTTTATAAAGGGCTACAATGAGTATTTTTCTCATCTGTGGCAGTAATCCCATCATCTAAAGCAGGACTTGAAACACAGTAGGCACTTAATCATTGTTGAATCAAGCACTAGTGCAGAGTAGGAGACATTTGCTATTGGAGAAGGCACTGGAGCAATTTCCTTGCAGAAATACATTTATGAAGTATTGCAGAACCCAGAAAACATTGACATTATTTCTGATAAATATCTATTTTTGCTTTAAAAGCATTATGGGAAACAAACTTCAGTTACGCCTATTTCAAACTGTTCCCTTTAGTCTGTCCAGCAATGATTTTTATGCACATGTGAATCCAAACTTCATTGCTTTACTATCTAAAGAAAAATGTCTAATTTTAAAGTACTGGAATAATGAGAATCTTGAATATTGAATTTTGTAACTGCATATGAATATTGATCACATTCTAAAATCAACGATACCAAAGATTGAATATTAAGAGCCTGTCACATATTCAGAAAAATCAAAAAGAACTGACAATTTTAGAAGACAGCTTCTTAGCAATTGAATTGCTTAGACCTATCTCTACATTTTTTTTTGAAAAAGTTCGACATTTCACTTCAACTGTCCTATTATAAAAGAGACAGTAACACACATTTAAACATAGATTCAGTTAGAGAGCTCAGGATTAGAGCTGCGTAGAATGATTTGCAATAAATGCCATTTCAGTCATTACTTTGTAATTCCTCCAAATACATGCCACTTGGTATACACAAAAAGTGATGAACTTCTCTTTGAAATATAAATGACTTACTTTAATGTTATTCTTCATGTCTATACTAAAAGTGTTTTTCTTCTAATACTGGTTTTAAGAATGCCTAAAGTTTCAGTTTTTATGTGTAATCTTTGGTAGAGAATTACTAACCAGTTTTTCTCTAATTACTTACTTTTTTGCTTCTTTGTGGAAGATACATCTTCAGCAACTTCTAGTGGATACAAAATATGAAAGTGAATATCTTGTACATTCAGAGCTATTATGCAAATATGGATGAGTCTAAAAAGGCCCAAACAGATGTACAATATGAAATAAACTTTATCTAATTATAATACACTCTAGGTTTCTATTCAGATTCTGGTGATTCTTTGACAATAATATTTAACAGGTAGGGTCCAGTAATAGAGAATCCAATGTCAGAAAATAATGTGGCATGCTGCTAGCCGATGTTCAGATAGCAACATTGGTCCTGGTATATTGTGTGTTGATGGCTGAGGGTTGTCTAACACACATTCCTTTATTAGAAGATGTTTTTTAATGTTCAGAGTCATAATATGTAGAGGGTGGAGACTGGATAGAAGATGAACATTTTAATAAAGGTAAATTTAATCAAATTTGTGAGACACAGGTTTTAGTGAACATTCTTGCCATTAAAGAACAGCATCAAACTGGCAGTCTGCTGTCCTTTCTTTTTTTATTTGACTCAAGGACCTTTTGCTATAGTGATGAACACCATGAGTCTATCTGGTGATAGATAATTTGAAGCTATTCATCTGAACCTTTTCCTCCAGGTTAGAAGTTCCTAACTGGTGGCATAGATGGAATTTCAGGGAGTTTCCTATAAAACAGTGAAATGCTAAAAGGTGCGAGTTTATGTGTGTATGTATCTGTGTGTGTGCATGTGTTTCATTGACAGCTATGTGTTGATTTCATCAAATTCTAATTGAATCCAAGGACCATCTTACTCAAACTGTAGTCAAGTAACAGCAGTTGCTGCATCATTTGAGAGATTGTTATAAATGCAGATTCTTAGGTCCCACCCAGTATTATTTCATTTTAACAACATTTTCATGTGATTAATTTTTAAAATAAATTTGAGAAGTCAGAAACATATTAAGAAAATCATTCTTCTTAAGAGTTCAATTATTATAAAAATTCTAAAGCCAGTATTCAGAAACATATCTTAACACCAGAGTGAATCATTTCACAAGACTCAGGTACTTATTCTTATGTCTTTTCTCAAAACACTATTCTCCTCACTGTCAATTAGTTTTGTGGGCACTGCCACAAAACTTCTATTTTGATGGCACAAACAAACAATTCTGAGGCACAGTCTTAGTGTTGACAGAGATGTTTGGAGCCTAAAAACCTGGGAACACAATTGGGAAAAAAATTCATCAATTTATTTGAAACTCTTAAAATACAAATGAAGAAATTTAGTCCTGGAAAGAATAGCTCAAGATCATGCAACTGTTTGCAGCAGATTTTCCTGAGGTTTGATGCTCCCTCCCTTTCTCTCTCCCTTGCTTTCTATATGCTGTTGCTGCTAGTGTAGCTAAGCTACCTCATTTTTCTTAATAAAAATGTCATTTTCATTTTTGAACATCCATGTTTTCTTCCTCCTGTCAAATAATGTCCCCTTTAATCCTCAGTGAAATGATAACTTTGAAATACTACTCTTGTAAGCAGATTGGCCAATAAATGCATCTAATAATTACTTGTAAATAAATCAATATCAAACTACTGCCTTCAGTATATGAAGATAAATATTTTTCCAAATAATGTAAAAAAGTTGTTTGTTTAAAAAATTGTCTACCATGTAGACATTGCTTAGGAAAAATAGGGCTAGATCAAGAATAGCTAAATAAAACAGTCAAAACATTACAAAATTGATAGAAAACAATTAAATGAACCAAAGATAATAAGCTCACCTTTAGCTTTCATTGATGCTGGTACACCTTCAAAATCTTCTCCTAGAGCATAAAGAAAGGATGTATCAATCCACGGTCCATTTTCTATATTTCCCAAAGATTAATTATTGTATTTAATGTCCTTGTGATGTATTGCATTGTACTGCACTGCATTGCATTATGTTAAGAGTCACAGGATCTCTTAATCTATAAACTCAACATCTGGTGTCTTAGGAACAAGAACTTTCTGACAAATCAGACAACTTCTCTGACTTGGAGAGAAGGCAGAGAGAAACAGATGCCAAGTCAGGTCTGTGCTCAGCAGTCCAGCAAAGGCTGATTAAGGAAAGGAGGACTTGAGTGAATCTCCCCAAAATGCGCCTCCTCCTCTGATGCCAAAAACTCCTTTCAAAACCACTATCACCTTTGGAAAAAAGAAATTCAAGGAAAATAAATTCAAAAATCACAGTGAGACTCAGAGAAAAATATCTACTCATATATTTTTACAAAGACAATTAAAAGTTTTACCAAAGCACAAATATGTAAAATATGACTCTCAAGTAAACTATGAAAATTGTTTGGTGTTTTGTACATTCAACTTAATGAATATGCATAGAGGGAAATGTGAAAGAACTACTAAGTCAGGCATAATTTTAACAATATAATCCAATAATCTTCAAATATTCAAGTCAACATTTTAGCACTTGTAATGACCTGAGAGAGGGTGGATTTTATTTCTTCAAATTTTGTATACCATTTGTTCACTGATAAATAGTAAAGAAGAAAAATATGTTAGTATGCAAATTTTCTCTATTGGAAAGAAAAGTGACCTTAAGACATGTTATTACGTAAAAGAATAACATGGAGAAAAGAAAGAAAATTACCAGTACTTTTTATTGTAAAATGATAAAGTTGCTGATTAGTTCTTTAAAAAACATCATATACAAATTTAACTCAATTAAATTTTGGTTTTCAAATGTCCATGGTCTTAAACTGCCTGATTAATAACTATAAAATGGTATAAATGGTTACCTGATATTTTGAAATAACTTACTATCTGTACTTTAAAAATTATGTCAGAGGGGAGCCTCTCTGGTGGCGCAAGGGGTTAAGCATCAGAACTCTGAAGCAATCTGCAGCCACTGCAGCATAAGTTCGATACCCACCCAGGGAGGTGACCCACATGGTGCAGCAGACCTCTTCTGTCTTGCTCACTGCTCCCCTCAGCGGTGTAGTTCAGCCAATCTGCCTGTTCTGTTCCCCCCTCTCTCTCTGGTGAATACTCATCCCCACACACCTCTGGCCTGTACCCCAGCTTTCATATGCATAAATAAATAAATCTTTTTTAAAAATTATGTCAGAGTTTTTAAAGGAGCAAATGATAAGTATAGTTTAGCTATGTGGTAATAATCTGCTAGCTTCATGAAGAATATTCACAAAATGATGCAAGTTCCTCATACATAAGGACTACACATTTTACTTTTATAGATTATAACAGGCTCAAATCTAATACAGCTATTCTCTGTAGCTATTTGTTACCCATGGAGAAATAAGTATGAGTAGAATAAAAACATTATCTTCTGTTTCTCAAATTCTGTATTCTAACCCACCATGAATAAGTTATAAGTGATATACATTGGCAAAAACTGAGTCACATGTCAATAGCTCTGGCTAACCAGAAAGAGAACAAAGCTCAAGAAGGTAGACCTCAAGTCTAAGGCAGTTGCTCTAGAGATACAATTTCTATGTAAGAAACTTACCAACAACAGAAATTTACTGTACTGGGGATAATTTACTATGATTGTCTCTACTTAGAAGACAGAAAGGAATAACACATTATCTGTTTACTCATAACTTATACATTGAGTGGGAAGTAGTTTGGATGCTACAAATTCTTGACTCTGGAAAGTTACAATGATTTCCACAAAAGAAGAATCATTACATGTTAATGGAATTTTAAGGAGTGACTGGTCCATTTGGCAGGGACATCCAAGAAAACATTTTATGAAGGAAGTTATACTTTGAAATACACTATGTATACAACATATACACTATGTATATGTTGACCAAAGAACATGACAAGTTTAAAGTGAAGGCAAATACATGAAGAAAAAATAGATACAGCAGAGAGTCCTTTGTTATCTGCCCTTGATAGAAAAGGGTGGAAGGTGTTCAAGGAACACCAGGAATGTTGAGCAGGCAGGAGGTCAACTTCTGGAAAGTTTGGATAGAGTCATTATATGGATGGTCTTATACATCAGACTGAGCAGTCTTCGGTTAATGGCATAGTCAGTGTTTCCCAAGAGAGAAATGATATTTTATTTTAGTTATTTATTTTTATTTACTTATTTTTTTAAGAGTTATTTATTTATTTATACAAGCACTGGGTACAGTCAGAAGCACGGGAGGGTGAGAGAATTTCGTCAGAACCAGAGCGGGAGCAGTACAGGCAGAGTGACGAAGTACACTGCTGAGGGGAGCAGTGGGCAGCAGGAGAGGTCTGAGCGCCATGTGAGACCCTTGCCTGGCAGCCAGGGATTGAACCAGCGCTGCAGAGGCTGCGGGCAGCTTCGCAACCCAGCGCTCAACTCCTGCGCCACCGGGGAGACCCGAGAGAAATAATATTTTAGATTTACTTTGAAAAATATGATTAAAACATGAGCAAAAGGATTCAGATTCTCAATTCAGAGAAACTGAGCCTTAATTGAGTCTTTGAACATAGTATCAGGGAATGTTTAGGTTACATAGAGTTAAAACCTGAAAATGTGTTGGGGAATTGGTAGGAGACATGGCAGAAGTGTGATTGTAAAAGAAAGTGGAGTAAAAGTGCAGCAACTCAGACTGCATAAGTGACAAGGAAATCTTATACAAGAGAATAGCTTGCAGGCAGAGGGAGAGGAGTATTTCTTAGAGAGCTGGAGATGCATCATTGAGGAAGCAAGCCATAGGGGAGAAGAGATGGAATCAAGGAAAACATAAATTGGCAAGAAAAATGCTTCTTCATCTGAAACTGGGGAGGGAGTGTTGGGTAAAAGAATGAAAAGAATTAAAACAGATGTGCCTTGGAAAGAAGGAAAATTTTAAAGAATCCACATTGATAGCACAAATTGTTAATTTTATTTTTCTTATTTTTAAACATAAAATTTCCTGTGTAGTGCCTGATCTGTTCTGTGTACTCTTAGCAACCATGATAAATAAATAAGAACTGCTTAAATAATACATGTGTGTGTGCCAACAGTTACTGCATGTTTATTTCAACAAGCAATCTATTCTGATTTGTGCACTTTCAAGAAATACTCCTAAGTAAACATCTGAATCCTTAGGCACAGACACAAAAGTAACTTAGCATGGTTTTGTGTATTCTGCCTCCTTCCTCCTTATGTAATTCACTGTATCTCTTTGTGTCTGAAGACATCCAAAAAGTTCAAATTATATTCTCAATTGATTTGCTGAATTATGTGTAGACAGTTGATAGAATGTGACATTCTAAAGTTTACATTTTTTAAAAGACATCTTAAGAATCAATGGTGGGGCCTCTGTGGTGGTGCAGGAGGTTGAGCATCAGCACTGTGAAGCTGTCCGCAGCCTCTGCAGCGCTGGTTCAATCCCCTCCACACAGTGAGGCACTTTTACTCCACTTTCTTTTACAATCACACTTCTGCCATGTCTCCTACCAATCCCCTCCCACATGGGTTCAATCCTACATGGCGCAGCAGATCTCTCCTGTCTCACCTGCTGTTCCCCTCAGCAGTGTATTTCATCAGTCTGCCTGTTCTCTTCCCTATTCTGTCTCTGGTGAATCCTCTCACCTTCCCACACATCTGGCCTGTACCCCGATTCTTGTATGGATAAATAAATCTTAAAAAAAGTCAATGTATTTTATTTTTTTAAAGATTTATTTATTTATGCATACAAGAGCTGGGGTACAGGCCAGAGATATGGGGGGGTGTTTGTGTGTGAGAGGATTCACCAGAGACAGAGTGGGGAAGAGAACAGGCAGACTGACTGAAATACACTGTTGAGGGGAGGAGCCAGTGAGACAGGAAAGGTCTGCTGCGCCATGTGGGTTGTTCCCTGACCAGCTGTGGATCAAACTCATGCTGCAGAGGCTGCGGATTGCTTCATAGTGTGATTCTTAACCCCTTGCACCACCAGGGAGGCCCCTCAATGTATTTTAGATCTCAGGTGTGAGAGGCTCCTTCTATACATGAATTTATTCAAAATGATCGTGCTTTCTAAAGAAAATTAACTGCTACATGAAGCAACAGCCACCAGATTCTTGAAATTGGCCCCAGGGAGTAATAAAGTATGCAGGGACAGTTCACATTTGGAACTGTGCAGAGAGTGAAGCTGAGGATGATCAATAAATGCACGCAGTCCTTTCTGGAGCATCTGTCCTGTCACTCTGAAGATAAGACATGATTGTCTGGAGGGCAAAGTCAGAACAACTTAACATCATGGGTAAATGAATGACGCCACATTGCCGGCTCTACAGACAAATAATGAACAGTGATAAACATTTCAACATATGTACCTTGTACACACTTTCTGTGTTCTAGAAACACAACTGATCAGAGGGCCTGTGCACAGCAGTTGGTACCAGAGTTTAAAGACTTAAGTTAAAGGTAACTGTACCAAATACTCTTATTTTTCTAAGAACAAAATTCCCATGAATTTAATCCACCTTGTTCTAAAAGTGGGATTGTTTTAAATCCACCCCCAAATAAATGGTAACCCAGGTCATCTAAACTAATTTCCCTATTATCAGCCACTACCCTGTGATTTCTTCTGTATTTCTACTATGGATTTTGTGTTAATTTTTTTTTTTTAACAAAAACTTCACTAATGTTAGTATTTATCAACATTCACTATAATTCGGGACTTCCAACAATATTCCAGCCCAGCAAAGGACTGTCAGTGAAACAAAGAGGCCAGTCATTAGTAAAGGACTCTTTGCAGATGCTTTCATGGTGTGTGTGGTGAGGTGACATACACCTGAGGAGGTGCAGGTCTGTTCCCCTACATGATATACAGAGTTGTAAACCAATGTTACTACAATAAAGAAGAAAAGAAAAACTAAGATTGTTGGACTGAAGTCAGCCATTTTATATAAAAGCTTTAATCAATATACTACAAGAAGGAAGACGTTTTCCCCTTTCAAACTTGTGAGCATTTATGTATTAACTGAGGATGGTTTTGTTTTAAAGAACATTAAACTTAGAATTCTATGATAAGGGACTAGTTTAGTCTCAATAATACTTAGATTTATATAATTACCTGGAAGTAAGAGATTCAATATTTTACTTTTTAATTTAGAAAAGTAAGGCATGAATCTTGATTTAAAAAAAAAGGTTTTGTAGATGGCTTTAAAAAATGGACACTGATATTTCTAACAATGTGATAGACAACAGTGACAATTATAAAAATTATACCTTTTGTTGCAGTGTGAGACTCAGAAGAGAAAAGTAATCTCTAAAAGGATCCCTCCTGCCCCAAAAGGAGAAAACTTACCCTGTTGATAAATTAGGGGGTGAAATCATCCTGCGATCAAGTGCTTATATTGAAACTAAAACTCATACACTAGGTGTACAAGGAGAAAAGTGGGGGTGTGGAGGCTGAGATTCTTTGCCTCGTCAGGGATGATGGGATGAAAATATAATTATCCAGGGGATTCTGAGAGGAGAATTGTGATATAGCATTTAAATCTTTTCCAATTCTCCTATGAAAAATCACTAGAGAGTAAAACCCATGGGTATATTTATGATAAAAATGAGACGTATGTTAAAATACATGTGGATTGAAACACGCTAACAATAAAAACCCTACCAGACATCAGTGTCTGCAGAGAAGGAAGCAGAGGGAATTATGCGGTATTGAATTGTAAACAAATGTTACCTTCAATAAAGGAAAAAAAAAGGTGCTACTGGAAGAAGCACAATGGCAAAATAAAGTCAGGAATGAAAAAGAACTGGTAAGTAATAACACTAAAAAAAAAATGTAAGTAAGTACAAGCATATGATAGAAATAATAATGCTAATAAAATCTGACATTTATTTTTGTAAAGGTTAGAACTAAAAATATTTAACAAAATTAGCATACAAATCAAAACAAGATGTCATGAAATTAAAATATTTTAACATTCTTCTCTTATTTAGAAAAGACTGTTTTACAGTAATTTTATTAAGTGTGCATACTGAAAGTTGAAGAGTAATCATTGAAGAAGTAGAAATAGAGTATACTGTTTCCAGTTGATTAGAGGGTGGGAAACAGATTAATAAAAACACATTAAAAAAAACCCTCAATTTATGAAAGACAAGAATCAAAGAAGTATTAAGAAAGAATGAGAAATATGAAGAAAAAGTGAGCTAATAAAAACTAGACATAAAATATTATTAGTCACAAAAAATATAAATCCAAACTCAATAGATTAAAAATAAAGTCATAGTACAGAAAATTTTGACCTTCTGATAATTTTGAAAATTTTCAGTGCAGGGACATGTAATCAGTGAAAAATAGGTTATGCTTTTATTTATAACAAAGAGTATCCTTTAGCTATGTATAGTTACCTTCTTTTAATCAGTAAAAAAATAGGTTACGCTTTACTTTATGACAAAGAGTATTCTTTAGCTATATAAAGTTATCTTCTTTTAAAAGGAGTTTTTAACTTAAGCTATACCCAACATCTACTTTAGGAGAAAAAAAAAAAACTATTAACATCTATGTGCATAAATGTCTTATTTAATTTCACCTTATGCATATTTAAATTTTCAGATACAATTAAGGTGGCTTAATTCTGATATCAAAAATACTTCCTAAACTTTAATATTGATCCAAATTGCACATTAAATTTGCTATATTTGTTCAAGAGGAAAAAGTCCAGAATCAAACAATGAATGTGTATATTTTAAAAATTAAAAGATTTTAAAAAACATATCAGAAGTAAAAGCGATAAAGGTAGTAAAAGTTATAAAGGAAGTTATCTTAAAAATGGAGATCCTGGCTAGTCCTCTGCTGGGTTTGTTTGACATTTCATTAAAAAGTAATTAACTATTATAAAAGATTAAATTTTATCAGTACAACCTTAAACATTAAATTCATTACCTTTGATATCAAAATTAGATTTCAGAGACTTTATAATGATCCCAAACCTATGACTATGCATATAATTTTGCTGAGATGCTAATGGCAAAATGTTCACTATTCACAACCTGAGAAAAATACTATAGAAAGATGCCAAGTTAAATTTCCACATAGAATGACCTCAACAAATGTTCTTCTGACATCACTCCTTTTAAAATACTTATTTTTGAGGGCCAAACTAACCTAGTTTTATTTAGATGTTAATTATCAGACAATAAGAAAAAAATACAGGATCCTATAATATCATTTTCCTAATTACTTCAGCACCAATTGTTACAATGTTATGTCTCAGCTTTGTCAAGGGCCTTGCAATTTCTCTAGGTCCAAGTCTTCCTTTGCCACAATTGTATTTCTCAAGTTTCAAAAAAGTCAAATATTAGTATTTGAAAGAAATTACTGCATTATTTAAAATTCAAGAATGTGCTTATTTTTTCTTAATTATTAAGTTAATATATACCAACATAGCAACTGAATATTCACAAAGCTATTACTTTTCATCACATTGTACCATTGAAGATTTTCTTCACTTATTAGGATTGTTTATAAGAAAAATATAAAGTAAAATAAGAATTTTTATGCAAAAAAATTAAATAAAAAAGGCAAAAATTTGGGCTCAGTTTAATTCTAAGCCTTAAGAACATGGGACTAATTTAGATGCTATAAATATTTCTTGTGATTTAAAAAAAATTTCCCCTCTACTAAAACCTAACAAAACTAAATATTAACAGTAAAGACTTCTGTTTGTATGAATAGAAAATGACATAATTTCAGTGATTACAAGATGTTTAAATTAAACAGAAACCATGAATGGTCAATCATTCTGATTAACTGAATTTGGGGATACACCAGGGGAGAAAAAGGTGGTTTTGAGTTTTGAAAATCTTATTGTGTCTCTAAAGATGTTTTCTTCCTGATCTAATTGACCTTTGTAAGTTTTTCAGATAAATGCATTGAAAATGCTGATTGTATAGTTTATTATATTGTATAGTTTATATTGTATTGTATAGTTTACTAAATAAATGAACTGATGTTAAGGAAAAAAACAACATTGCAATGTAGCTTCAGACTTTATGGTGACCTAGAGCCTGTCATGTGTTGCTCCTTTGACACTGCCGTTACTACATATCCATTTACCATACATCTTCTTCTAATCAGACCAACATTCATCATGTACATTAATTAAAGTTTTATTTACAATTAATATAGGGCTTCCCTGGTGGCATGGGATAAAGTCTCAGCCTGTCTGCTCCCTACTCTGTCTCTAGTGAATCCTCTCATCCCCCACACCTCTGGCCTAGACACCAGTTCATGTATGCAAAAATAAAAAAAAAATTAAAAAGAAACAATTAATATAAAGAAATGTTGACTCAAAATATTTTGGTTTCAGGACTTTGCATTGTTTCACTTTTTTTTTTAAATTACCTTTTACTTCTTTAGGATGCTTCGTTTCGGTTTTTTCTGCAGAAAAATAAAGGTAACTTTGAGTCACATACATTTTTTCTGGGGTCTTTCTAAGGTTTCAAATTCAATTTTGTGTAGTCAATATTCATATTTGAGGACTTAAATAGAAATAACTCTGTGGGTTAATTTAGGAACAACAGAATTTGCTTTAGGTTCTAAATTTCTACATCTTCAGATATCTAATGAAAATAATGTGATACCTAACCTCTTGCATGGATTATTCTTCAACTACATGTAATTCTGATATATGCTTTAAAATAATTGTCCTCATATTCATCAATGACTTTAAATGATAAAATTCATAGACATATGCAATTTTTGTTTTTAATCATAATTTGATGCATGTCTTAAAATTTCATCTTTACCTTTGCTTTCCTTTTCAGATTTATCAATTTTCTTTTTCCCTGGGGAGAAAAATAACAAAAAAGATTAGCTTAAAAAACATTATATCCTTATTCAGTCTGGGAATAAATAGTTGGAAATAATACTTAACCGTATAAGGGAGAGCCCTACTTTATCAAGATGTGAAGGTACAGTCTCTTTCCCAGTAAGTTAGACTTGAATATTCTGCTTATATTCAGCCACCAAGTAGGCAGTGTTCCCTCCCTTTTTTGTCTTGTTTTTGTGTTTGAAGTAATGCTCAAGTGAGAAAAGCATTGATTAATGAGTTTAAACTAGTAACAGCAGGGAAGCATATCAATTTTCGATTGCCATCTTTAGGAAATGAGAATTTGATGATCAATAAATAAAGTATTTAAAAAACAATGAAATAATCAAATACTATTGCCCAGAAAGTGTGAACACATGGTTTTCAAAATAGAGTTTTGATAGACTGGTAATTTTCCTCAATTATGTTTTTCAAAGGGTGAGAAGAAAACGTGTTTAATGAGTGACAAACAAGTATGTAGCAGAAATGTTTTATATGTAATTTCATTCTAATATTTATAACTAGCGTTTTAAGAAGTCATCATGCCTAGTCTAGAAATGAGGAAACTGGGAATCTGAATGATTATGGGAATTTCCCAAATTTTACACAGATATTCAAATTTATATACTTATATACTGTATCTACAGGTCTATTTTACCCTTTTTGTGAAAGGTAAGTATTTACCTGATTCTGTGACTTCTGATGTTTCCTCTGTATTAAAAAATAGTAGAAAAAAGGAAATAATAGTTTAGTGTTCAAGTGTTTAAAAGGCAGACAACTGACTTTCCTTAGCAGCTATCTCTTAGAATAAAAATAAGCACATTAATCAAAATAATAAACACATGATAACTATTATTTCTGAAAACTATAACTAGAAATCTTTTTTGAAAATAGAACCAATTTGTTGACTAATTTAAAACAACAGAAGTCTATTCAAATATATCCATTCCAGTATGGTATAACAGATAAATTCTAAGACTTTTGGTTGGCCTTCTTAATTAACATTTTTAAATTAAAAATCTCTATTGCATAAACTTTGAACTTGATCTTCATAAATGTGTGCATCCATTCATTCATTGAATCTTTATAAGGCAACTTCATTTATAGAATGTTGTATTAAGCGCAATTGGTGAGGCTGAAAAGAATCATAGAAATGAGCTCGACTCATTGTGACAGAATCTGATAAACAAGAGAAGACATAAAATGATATTTGTCTTTGCAGGATAATGTAGAAACAGCCTTTCTTTTTTTTTTCAGTAACTTATAAAAAAATAATATTTTAAACTATAATATGGCAGGTCTTAAAAATAAATCTCTAATTCACAAATCATTCAGATAGCACCAAATTCTGTACATAAATACATTTAATTATTAATCTTATATAACTTTTGGGAGCCTATTTTTGAAATTCAAGAATAATTGGTTATATTATTTTATGGTAATAAAGATGGAAAATGAATGTTTTATAAAACAGTATTTGCAAACAATTATAGAGATATTTAATATTACCATCCTAGTTTTGACTTTCAACCCTTAATTATTGCAATACTTTTCACATTGATAGAAATAATACAAAATAAATACACTAGAGATTTTATACAACCAGGGGGCAACATTAAATACTTTGACACAGAAATTAAAATGAGTTTTAGGAAAATTAATGTTGTATACCTAAGAAATCTGTTATAACACTCTTAAGGAACCAGAACAGTCCTTAGTATTTAAAACACTCTAGGTAGAATTTCTAGATATACTCTTGGTTGAAATTCATATATAATTTAGCTCAGAGTAAAGTCTTGCTCTTGTATTTTAATAATGGAGACCAAAAATTTTCATTTTAATAAAATTATATAAACATTTCATACATTTTCAAATTGTTCATAAACTGCAACTTTTTAAATATTGTTGGAAATGTCAGATAAAATAAAAGAGTGGTTCTGAACTTCTAAGGACAATTTACATTCTGGATTTGAAAAATAAGAAAATAAAATGCTAATGTTCAAATTAAGTAATTGAAGACAGTTTCTATGCATTCCAAACTTAGCTCAATCATGATGATTAAAGGAATTTCAATGAATATTTATTCAATATCTTAACAATTAAAAGTATGAAAAAGAGATGCAATCCCTTTTTCTCACACATATGTTAGTTTTCATGGCAAATACATTAAATACACAGGAATGACAATAGAAACCAGTTTCCTCACAAATCCTGACAGTGTGTATTATACCTAATAGGTGTTCAATAAATACACATACAAGGATTAATGAATACATTATACACAATATTTATTTTTAATCAGATCATTTACATAGGTAATGGCATAAGAACTATTTCATAAATATTTACTTTTTAATGCATATATGTCAACGAAATAACAAAATTTAATGATTAACAATTCTTGAAATTTTTAATGGTAAACTTACTTGAAGTTGGTTTTGGTTTGTCTAAAAAGGAAAAAGAAAACAAGAGATAATTTTTTATCTGTAAAGTGAAATAATCAGTCCTTTACATTTTCTTTCTTCTTTTAAAATTTATTTTTGCATAGAACGGGAGTGTAGGCACTAGGTGTAGGGGTGAGAGGATTCGTCAGATAAAGAGTGGGGAGCAGAACAGGCAAATTTACTGAAATACACTGCTAAGGGAAGCAGCGGGAAAGACAGCAGAGGTCTGCTCTACCACATGTGCTTAGTGCTCTGGCTGGAGATTGAACTCAGGCAATAGAGGTGATAGCTCTGAGACTTAACCCCTAGGCCACCAGGGAGGCCCCAGTCCTTTACATTTGCTATTTCGATTTGCTAGAGTTAAAGTAGAAAAGGGCTAAAGTTATATTAAAATGAGCAATAAGCAAAGCATTTTGAGTAACTTCTAGGTCACATTCCCATTGAATTCCCCATAGAAGTTGTAAAGCCTGCAAGTATAGTCTTTTTGGTCTATCCCTATAAGACCTCATCTTTAATTTGATGCTATAAATGCTCACAGTAATCTGAATCCATTATGAAATAAAATGCATATTTTCCTCTGTCATTTCAGGATATTAATTTTAATTAATATTAACCATTTAAACTCTCCTAATTTTCATTTTGAATAGTGAAGCCTACTTTATAAAATCTCAAGACTAAATCTTACACATAAAGATCTATTTATTCATAAAAAGTAGACACATTTGGCCAAGATTGAAGTATTTGAATTGCCCAGAATTATTTCAATTAATTCATTAACATTGGGAAAAGAAATTTATACAACTATTTTTAGAGAGCAATTGGGAATATTTATAAGAGCTACATGAATATATACTGTTTCACTAAAAAATTAACTTTAAAGGATTTTAGCCCAAGATAAATTTCACAAATCTAGAGAGGTAAATATATTTATTATGTATACTATTCAAGAAAACCTGATAGACAACTCAAACATGTGTCAGAGACTAGTTAAGTAATCTTTGCCAAAGTATAAAACACAATACTATTAATGAGGAAATTCTTTGTGTACTAATAAAAAATTTTCAAAATACATTTTTAAGTGGAAATATCTAGGTAAAGGGCTATTTATGATATGCTATGATTTGTGTAAAAAATAAAAGTGAAAATTTATGTATATTTATATGTATATATTGATATGTATGAGCATGTGAATATTCTTTTATTACATACATACATATATAGGGCAGTACTAGAAGTATAATAAGAAATAATAACTAAATATTAGATATTATAGGATATTTTTTGGAATGGAATTTTGTAGAACAGAGGAATTGAAAGGAGAGGTTTTCACAGGTAGCCTTTTCTATGCCTTAGTATTTAAACCATGTTCCATATTCATAATATTTTTTAAATTATTAAACAATTAGAGAAAGGGATAGCTTCTAAACTTTACATCACGGTCAAACTCATGATTAGATTTCACAAAATGTAAAACATGCAATTTAATAGAATAATCTGAAAAATATCAACTGTAAATTAACATCAGTATGATATTAATTTGATAACAGTGGAATATTGATTATTTTAGAAGAATCTTGCAAATCATGAAAGCAAATATAATTTCGTTAGTACTACATTATTGTAAAAGCATTTTTGGCTATGTGCTGTACCATTTAGCAAAATGTTTCATCATCAATAATACCACAGCCCTTATGTTAGATAAGCTAGATTTTACAATAAAACCACAAGACTGAACATAAAATAAGAAGCAAATGTTTTGCTTTAGTTTTCAGCTTAAAAAAATAGTGACTTAAGACAATGTAAACAGAAGGGGCAAAAGCACCTGTTTTTATAGATGGAGATTCTTTTTCTTGATGTTCAGCTTTTTCTAGAGAGAAAAATCAAAATTAACTGACAGTCTGAGGGTTGTTGATGTAGCAAACATTTCTTATTTATATATTTGCAGGCAGTCTTCAGTTTACATATATTTTATATATATATTATATTATATTATATTATATTATATTATATTATATTATATTATATTATATTATATTATATTATATTATATTATATTATATTATATATATATTACAATATACAGAATGCATATTTCCATAGAAACATTATAAACAAGGACCAATTTATTCTTAAGGCATCCTGTAAGACAATAGGAAGGTACTAGCCCTTTTGGGGCCATGTGGTATAAAAAAGAGGTTAAAACCTAACAAAGAGGAGGATATTAGGAGAATTTTCATTCTTCACTGAAGGTTGAGTGATTCCTTAGAGATATTTTAAAACAAATGACATTTGCCTTTAGCATTTTATAACTTCTCTTTTTACTTCCCTGATGCCCTCTAGTTCCCTTGTTGTTTCACAACTCACATGAAATTTAGTGCTGGCCACTAGTTTCCTCTTGGAAATTTAACCCATACCTACCCTATTCCCCAAAATGTCACATTTGATATTATCACTGTCCTTGATCACCTTCTTTTTACATGTTCATATTTATATCACAGATAAATCTCAACGAAGTTTAGAATATGACCAATGGGATAAAAATATGTAATTGATATCTCTCTAAGCTTTCAGAATAAGCATTTGAACTAAAACAGTTTTAGGTGGTCTCTTTCTGCTATCAAATGTGGAATTTCCAATGAAACCATATAGGGTAGGGTATTTCAAATGGAGTTGAGAGTGCTTGAAAAAACTGCCAAGTTTTAGTTCTTTGTAATAACTTGCAAGGTTAATCCTCCTAAACTGTTCCTGATATCTACCTATACTTTCCTTCCTTCACTCCTGAATTTGAAGATTCTCTAGAAATATTACTATTTTCCCTGGATATCATGCAGCGACAGTGAATTAGTGAGAAGATGCAGAACCTTTGTTGTCACAAGACAAATTAGATATTTGTAGTATAAGGGTTGACAACATTCAAAAATAAATATTCATAAACTAATATTAAATAAGCATGCAAAATAAAATCAATGAAGAAGCTAACAGTCAAGGTATTAAATTGTCACTATAGCTGCACTGCAAACACATGATAAATTATATTTATATTTATAGTAATATTTATAGTAAATTATATTTATAGTAACATTCAAAATACCAATTGTATATTCAAAATACATGTATCCTATTCTAAGATAAGAATATGCTCTATTTAGACTGCACACATTTGTGTTATATCTCCTGAACCACTTATATGAACTCCAAACTGGTCTCACCAAATCATCTTTTGATCTTGTCAATACATTTTTTTATACAGATGCCAGAGACTACAGGACTGATAGCCACTCATGTCTTCACCTAAATTTCTGTTTCACAAATATACATCATTCAAGGCCCACTATCACAATTTTCACATATTCACTACCTGTATGACAATGGGAAAATATTCAAACTTTCCCAAGCCTCACAGTCATCTTTTAAACTCTATAATAGTAATACAACAGTAAATACTTTTAACATCCAGGCTCATGAGAAAACTTTATGATTTTAATGAATAAATGACAAAATGTTTGTAATTTTATGAATTTCCAAATATCAAAAAATACTATATTATAATTAATTTTGCTTAAAGCAAACAAATGAAAAACAATATGTGGTTCATAACAAGAACAGTTATATATTATTTCATTTTCCTTTGTTATTTATTTTGTATTTATGTATTTAAAAGATGGCCTTTCTACACTAATTTCTTAATATTATTTTACAGCCTAAATGGAAGTGGATTCACCCCTTTAATATTAATGATAATGATACAGTGTCCAGAGAGTTTTTTTGTGTATATAATTGCAATTATTAGTTAGTAGTTAAAGGCAAGGATGCTAAATCAAAGTCTAGCAATATCATCAGCTACCCATGTATTTTAGTCTCAGGCAACACTGAAACTAACAATTAAAAAGCTCAAATTGTTAAAGTTGGAATAGCCAAACAATAGTTTTCTGATTTTATCTTTTTCATCTCTTACTTGCTTGCTTTGGCTTGACTGTGAGGACAAGAAGGAAGTCAATGGCATATGGATGAGTACAAATGATGGAAAAAATAACTTCACTAAAACTTATTCTTTCTTAACTTTAATTTCTCTTCTTATAGTAAGCTTTATCTATTCTCTTTAAATACTATTATTTCACTCTGAGTGAATATATATTAACAACACTTCTTACTAAAAACTTATAACACATAAAATATGTGTAAAATTTAAAACCATCTATATATTTGAAACATAAGCACATTGGGATAGTTTCTTCATAATTTCCAAATATCCATATAACTAAATGAGATACTGAGGGGGGCATATCAATACCTTAGAGTACAAATTAGAGCAACATTAACTAAAATTATGAGCTTAAGCAATGTTTGAAATAGAGTACAGTGGTCAGATGAAGTAATGTGAAAATGGACCATGAGGTTTCTTCTTTCTCATGTAATAATCATCTGTGATTTATATAATTAGTTCTCTTCTGAATTCTATTATATTTTCCTCCAAGAAACTGTACTTAAATTCTGATCATCATGATTATTCAGTTAAAACAAAGAAATTATTTCAACAATTTGATTCCTTTGGAATGATTTATAGTAAGAGATGGGGCTCCACTAATGCCCCAAGTGGTGAGCTTTCTGTCCTGGAATCAAATGGAGAAGATCGAGTAGTTCAAGATGTCAATTGAGAGAAAAATCAGTTTTGTTCATCCTTACAGAAAAGGACTCCAACATTGCAAGAGTGTGTGAATTCCTTTTTGTTTTTCCTCACATGAAATGATGAGGAGTGGACTGTTTTTACTTTAATATTATATGTTCTGCTGATCATTCATTAAGACAGATTTAAAAAGTTAATACAACATTTAACTATCTGTGGACTCTCATGAAAGGAAATTGTTCCTTCTAACACATAAGCAGCAGATCGTTTCAGATTTCTGGGATTTCAAAATTTGAGGAAATTTGGTGTGAAAATGAGATTAAACACCCAGTCTGCACAAGGCAAGCAATGCATTACATGGATTTCCTCATAAATTATATGTAAGCTTAGGTCAATCACACTTAAAAAAATAAACTTACGCCACTCTAGTCTTGTACTAATTATTTACTTTCTATTTTTTAATCTAAAGTCTTAAAATCTATGACACTAAAAGTGTATAAACTTTAATGAAGATATATGTACACAGATTATATACAATTGATACATAGAGGAAAAATATTAAATGTCTTATTTACCTGTTTTTTCTGTTGTGGTAGCTTTTACCTGCTTGACCACATTTTCTTCTGTGATAGGAAAAATGTTATCACAATTAGAAAACAATGACATATTTCAAACTTGAAATTTGGTATTCTCTTTGCTATAAATAAATTTAATGAATCCCCCACGCAATTCTGAGAAATGCCTAGGTGTTTCCTCAATAAAGCAGCAACACTCCCATGTTCACAGCAGTAGTTTAGAGCAATCCAAGTGTCCATAAATGGTTGAATGGTTACACGTACACATATATGCTTTATAAGTAATGAATATATCATATGTTCACATGCGCACGCGCACACACACACACACTGGACTTTTTATTCAACCATAAAAAATGTAATCTTGTCATTTTTGACAACATGGATGAACCTCAAGTACATTATGCTTAGTGAACTAAGTGAGACAAAGGTAAATATGATATCATTTTTTTTTTCAGATGTGGAATCCAAGAAGAAGGAAAAAACCCAATCTCAGATATAGAAAACAGATTAGTAGCTGGGAATGGGAGATATGGGGTAAAGAGGTAAAAAAGTAGAAAGAAAAAAAAAAAAAAACAGCAAGTACTATCTTTACTCAAAAGGATGGGAACACAAGAAAATATATCCATCTATATACTTTCTTTGTAACTATCTTGCCATAAAGTTTTTTGTAATTTGAGTCTTTCCCCTAACTGGCCAATATACATAACTTGTCCCTTGCCTTCACTGTAATTCACTATATTTATCTACACATAAATAGTTTTATAAAACATAGACTCCTATTTGCATTATTGAAGTAAGGAAGCCATGATTTTGATCTATTTTTTGTATACATACCTCCTTAGGCACTCAGGATTGACAGGGACCCCTAATTTTTATGGTGCATATCTAGGCAGTGGAAAATGGTACATTTATGGGATTTCTTCTGCCACCTATGTTTTTGTAGTCATAGTCAAATTTGGTCAGAGTAGACAAATTATTATAATGACTTTATATAAAAATAAACTTATCAAGTATCTTGCAATGGGAGTGATCAGCTGGTCAAATATGCTAACAAGAAAATTTTATTGGAAATAGGATTTAAAGAGTAGGAAAGAATATTCTATGGAAAAAGACGATGGGTGCTTTGAATGTGGATGCAATGTGTTGACAAGCATCTGAAGAGGTGTGACCCTATCCCCAAATCACATACAGTGTTGTAAACCAGTTATCTAAATAAAAAATAAAGAAATTTTAAAACTGAAATTAAGTAAAGATGTGGCTAGAGACAAAGCATTTGTCATACAATTAGAGACTAACTTCTCTCACTCTCTTTACTTCACCCAAAAATGACTAACATTGGAGACAATGAAGAAAATAGCAGGTTTTATATTCATTAAATTAGTAGGTTCTAAAAGCCATTTCTATGATTTTTGAGTATGTCAATAGAAACAGCTATTCTTGCCTTTCCACAATCCAACTCTGCTTTCTTTATTCCTGTAGTTTCTGTTGTTAGTGTTTCACATATTTAAATCATAGGCAAATTAAATCAAACTGACTCAATTCCATTACAAGCAGATTTTCTAAAGTGAGATTTTAAAAAATGTATGTATTATGTTTCCTAAAATATGTTTAGAGAAAATATGTTCTTTTTAAAGATACTGGTCTAACTATATTCAGAATATCAGGATAATAATCCAGCCTGGAATGAAGGACAATATTCTAAAGAATAACCGAGACTTGGAGCTGTCTCAAAATTAAATCTCATTTAATTAGTTTAAGTTATAGCTTAAAGTTTCTCTTTTCAAATAAAAGTTAATTAATATACTTGTCTTGGCGAATTATGTATCTCTCTTTATGAACAGTGGAAATGAAATGAATCAACTGGTGTAATATCTTATTTTTGATGGTGAACGTGGTAACTACTATATTGGCTTTGATGACTTTCTCCAAAATGTAAAACAACGGATAGAAAGAAAGGTGGGTAAAGATGCAGGATAGAAGGAAATAAGATGGAAAATGGGGAAGGTAGTTTCTTTTCTTTGAAATTTTGGAGTCTTAAATGATAATGCTTGAATGTGCCAACCTGAATTACAAGTTTTCTAAAGTTGTCTTGCCTCAAACAGAACTAAACAAAACAAAATAGAGAGCCATCCAACTGAGTATAGGCTATGTTGATTTTGTGTTCAACTCGGATGGGAAGGAATATCTAGCTGTCTAGTTATACCTGATAGGTTAAGTCTTCAATACAGGAAACACTATGAATGACTAAAACTGGAGATATTCTGTAAGTAAGATGACTTAAGACAACGAATCATCCATAGTAAATTTAGATTTGCCTCTAGGGTCTTATTTGCTAAAACTAGAACAGTGAGAGACAATTCAATACTGCAAATACCACCTGCAAAATCCCTGGTTTACCAGGAGAAACTGTCTTTTCTGGTTTCTCAATGTCTCGTTCTGAAAACAATTAAAAAAATCTTTTCAGGTGCCTAGATGTTTTATAAATTAACATGGAGTGAGTTTTCTCTATGAAAAAGGCTGATGATTTCTTGGTAGAAAATAATTTACAGAATTCAATAAAAATTATATGAAACTATACCAAATTTTTCATGTGACCCTGATTTATATGAAAAAAATTGAAAGGTTTTGTTTGTATGAAAACAATATACCAAGAATTTTCATTTATGTTTAAGTACCCATAATTTCCAAAGCATAGGCTATAATAAAACAGAAATACCAAAACAAAGATAACAAACATAAGTTATTAAAAATATTTCTAAATTTTTATAAAAATCTACGCATTATATAAGCATTGTAGATGAAATTAATATACATACTGTGTATTAGAGCTTTATCCGAAGAAACTGAAAATGAAACATTTAGTGAAATGAATAACATTGAAACATTTAGTGAAATGAATAATTCAGTTAAATCATGTGCAAAATTGTGGTATTTAACTATAATAAATGAAAGCTTTAGATGGTACTAGGCCTAACTAGAAGTTTTAAATGGTATTAGACTTCTAGTTAAAAGGGGCAGGGTGATGGAAATTATTCATTTGGTAAAACATGCTCATATAAAACAAAAATTTATATTTAGGAAAATAAGTCATTATTATCACATTAAAATTTTGTTAACAAGAATAACTAAACTCAGCTTATGATCAATTTCTAGGTAAGTCCTAGGGAGAATTAAAGGAAGAAGGTGACAATGTATACAGATCTTGACTTGCATTCTTGAATTTGCTGAGACTGAAGAATCCTACCATATAATTTTATATAATGAAGAAATAGCTTCCATATATCCTGAGGGTTTTTTAACTTGCCTCAGGTCAATAGCTAGATGGTAGCAGAGCTAACACTTACACACTAAATAGCAATGTAAACTTAGAAAAATCAGCCTGATTTTAGGTCCATGTTACTTCATAATAATATGATTTTAGGCTGGTATAATCTCTTAGTGGAACACACAAGGATTTGAGTAAATCAGACATTGGCAAAATCCTAGCTGTGATTTATTTACTTGAAAACATTAGAAAAATGCCTTATTCTTTGAATTTTGTATATTGGACTATTTCCACATATTAAGTATAAACATTTATTATGTTCACGTCTCTCATAATGCCATAGTGAACAATTTAAAAAAATTAATGCCATTATTTAGTTCATAGTAGATGCTTAGTTAGTTCTTGTTTGCTCTTCAGATCTTAGTAGGTTATGATTTGTCATTTGATGATACTAGTGTATTAGGAGAAAAATCCCCAAATTAAACACGATCATACTTATTTTTGAAGGACTCCAAGAAGTGTCTCCCCAAACCTATTCTTTGCTGAGGCCCACTTGAAGGTATTATTGCATATGTCTTTCTTTCCCAATGGAATAGACCCATTTTTACGTAATAAATACTATAAAACCACATCAAGCAATGAAATGGAGAAAATAATCAGGATCTGGGATACACTGTATAAGTCTCCATTGGTGGGTGATAAGCCACTTTGTTTTAAAATTATGACACATTCAACTCTATTTAAAAAAAAAAAGTGTTGGGACCTCCCTGGTGGTGTAAAGCATTAAGTCTCAGCACTATGAACTTATTTTTTTTTAAAGATTTATTTTTTTTATTTATACAAGCACTGGGTATAGTCAGAAGCACGGGAGGGTGAGAGAATTCACCAGAGCCAGAGCAAGGAACAGAACAGGCAGACTGACGAAATACATTGCTGAGGGGAGCAGCGGGTGAGACAGGAGAGGTCTGTCGCGCCATGTGCGACCTTCGCCTGCGGCCGGGGATCTAACCGGCGCTACGGAGCCTGTGGGCAGCTTCGCCACCAGGGGAGGCCCACTATGAACCTATTAACAGCCACTGCAGTACAAGTTTGATCTCTGGCCAGGGAGCTGACCCACATGGCACAGCAGACCTCTCCTGCCTCACCGCTGCTCCCTCCAACAGTGTATTTCAGTAAATCCACTTGTCACGCTCTCCACTCTGTCTCTGGTGAATCATCTCACCCCCGCCCCCACACACCTCTAGCCTACACCCCAGCTTTCATATGCATATATAAAATAAATCTTAAAAAAATAAAAATAAAAGTGTTACCTGGTTTTGCTTCCTTTTTACCTTGTGGCTCTGAAAGGAAGAAACAAAGCAGAAATTTTAAAACTTAAAAACATAAACGAGAGCGCAAATTCATATCTGGAAATTACGTATTTTGTTTACCATAAGTAGAATGGCAGAATTTTACTAAAAATATGTCAAATTTCATGGTGGTTTGTCAGTGCAAAACTACTAAACACACACATAGACTCATGCCATGTACTTCTTTTATTAAGTTGCTGTTACTTGTAATTGATATCAACCTAAGTTTTTCTTTTTGTTTTCTCAAGGTGGTTGTTGTCAAGCAGAGTTCCAAGGTCAACATAAAATAAATGATATGACAAGAATTGGAAAAATCTCTGAAATAGATTGAATTGGGTACATGTCATTTAGAAATTTAGACAAATAATGTTATGGTTTTAATTGTTCCACAAAAAGCTATGTTGAAGTCCTAACCCCCCAGTAAAACAAAATGTAAACTTATTTAGAAATTAGATGGCTGCAGATGTGATTAGTTAATGCAGTAAGTACTGGAGTAAGGTGTGCCATTAATTCATTCTGACTGGTGTCCTTACAAGAAGAAGAAAAGACACAGAGACAGAGTCACACAGGGGAAAAATGACTATGTGATGATGGAAGCAGACATTGAAGCGACTACAAATCGAGTATGCTAGCTAGCAATACCAGAAGCTGGAAAAGAGAATGATTTTTCTCTATGGGCTTAGAAAGGAGCTTGGCTCTGCTGACATCTTGATTTTGAAGTTTCAGTTTTTAGAACAGTGAGGGAATGAATTTTTGTTGTTTTAAGCTAGTAGTGCATGGCAATTTATTCCAGTCATCAAAGAAAATTAATAAAACTCAGTTCCCAGAAAGGGGCTATAACACTTATAAAGGCAGCAGTAGCTTTGAAATTAGGTGATGATTAAAAGATGGAAGATTTTCAGTTCTTGATATAAAAAAGCCTAGATTTCATTGAAAATACTATTGGCAGAAGTATCAACAATAAAGGCTGTTCTTTTGAAAGGCTGATCCAGAGAGAATCGATGATAGCCAAAGTTTCTGTCATTTTAGAGAATACACATATTCTCTTAAACAGAATTTTGTTGAAAATAATAAGGTTAATGTGCTTCTGATGCCACCTTAAAAAGAAATGAGCAACAAATGATTGGCTACTGGAGGAAGGTGTTCTTTGTTAAAAAAAAAAAAATGGCAGACAACTTATTGAATTGTGTTCTATTGGATGAAAGGAAGAATTTTAAAGTGAAAAACATAAATATTTATCTGAGGAAATTTATAGGCAAAGTGTGGGAGTGACTTCCAGTTTCTCCTTCCTACTTATAATAAAATGTGAAAGGCAAGACAAATTGAAGAATGAACTGTTAAACAAATGGAATGTGATAATTTAGAAAATAAAATATTCACCCTATTTAGCTAGTGTGGCCTGGAGACAGGGTCAAGGGACTGGCAGGACGAAATTTTTGTTAAAGAGATAAGATGTATGACTCAATAATTCAGTCTACTATCGAGTAAAAAAAAAAAATACAGGAATAGAGATGTTATTCAGGAGAGGTCTGTGGAGGTCCTCTTTTCCGATGACTTCCACCTCTGTGAACTGAATGCAAGAATGGCTATGTTTTGGGGAATTTTATACAAATAAAAACAATGGCAGCCTATAGAGGATGGGAGGAAATGAAGGCTAGAGCTTCAGATTCAAAGAACTGGGCTGATAAGACCTTCTTGAGTAGAGATGGAAAGCCCCACTTGGGTCAAGACCATACTCCCAGACCCAGAGAACAGGACATTGAGTCAAAGAGGACTTCTTCAAATTTTGACATGTAATAACATTTCTTGCTGTGCTTTGGATTTATTTGGGACCTGTAACCCCCTTTATTCCTTTCAATCTCCCTTTTTTGGATGGGAAGGTCTGTCCTATACTTGTCCCACTATATTTTTTTGGAAACTCATAACTTATTTTCTGGTTTCAAAGGTTCACAGATGAAGAATTTTCTGTAGGAGGAAGTATACTCCTAATTTTATCCAACAACTAATTTAGATGAGATTTGGGACTTTGAATTGATTTATTCTGACTTGATAGACAACATAAAATTGTTAATATGAAAGAGAACTTTAAGGATGTTGGAATGGAGTAAATGTACTTCCACCTACATAGGACAAGAATTAGGGATGGGGCAGAGGGAGGTCTTTTTGAGTTGAATTGTATACCCCCAAAAGAGATATTGAAATTGTAATCTCCAGTACATGTGACATTATTTGAAATAAGGTCTTTGTAGATACAATTCATTAATATTCAGTAATATGAGATTACAGTAGATCCTTAATCCAGTATGACAAGTCCATATAACAGAGCAGAAAAGACACAGAGATTACAACACATGTGAAGACAGAATCTGAGACTGGAATGAAGCATATATAATGCAAGAAACATCAAGGATTGCTAGCGATCACCAGGAGTCAGAAGAGGCAGGAAGGATTCTTCCTTGTAGATTTCAAGGGAAACATGGTTCTGCAGATATCTTGATTGTGGCCTTTTAGCTTCCAGAATTATGAGAGAATAAACTTGTCTTGTTTAAAGTCACCCAATTTGCGATATTTTATGACAGTGACCTTATAACACAGTTAGGAAACAGAAACCAAAATTTTAATCATTTTGAACATCAAATTGTTGTGTGCTGTGTGTTCTTTTTAAAAGTTCTGGCTGACTACTGCAGTCCTTAGAAATGTTCATCTGACTCAGGAGTCCAAAAAAAGAGAAGTATAGAGCAGCTGTTTTTCTGAAAGAATGTTCATGTCCCATAGTAGTCAGCAAAAATTGTGGTTTTGTTGGATTCAAATAGTCAATTGTTTCTTCTGAGCCACATAAATTTCTCAGAAGTTTAACATACAAATACTATTTTTTTTTCTTTCTGCTAGGAGCAGGTATTACAGATAAAGCTATCTTCTTTTAGGTTAGTCAAGGATAAACTTTTGATATGATACTGTACCGGCATATAACATTTACAAGTAAATAATAATGTATTTATTATAAATATGAAAAGCAAGCATGAATCTATACATAAAATATACATACCTGGTTTCTCTTCTTTTTTTACTTGTGACTCTAAAAATATTGGTAAATATCAGTAACTATGGTTTTAATCTACTATATTAATTTTCTTCTTATGATTGCATGAAATTAATACAAAGATAAGTAAATATTACTTATAATCATAATAACAATTATTTTGAGATAAAATGGAAATGTGAACTAAGAAACAATGAGAATTTAATGAAAAGTATTGTTTTTTACCTCCAGTGAATAGAAGCCAAAGGAAAAATTTAAGATAGTATATTCTCAGAAACACATTTAGAATCATAAGCAAGTTGGCCATCCAAAATAGTTAAGTGTTTGCCTTTAAGCAAAATACTCAACAATTAAAGCAGAGAATAAATAAACATGCATTTTAAGTTTTGTTTTATAAACTTGTTTATGTTTATTTGGCATGCATGTAACATACGTGGAGTTTTAGTCTTGACTTCTTTGCCTACAAGATTTGAAAAATTATCAAAGACTGAGTTCATTGCACGGATATAGAAAATGATAGAACATTATGTATTTGCAAATTAGAATCCAGCAACATAGAAATAGATATCTTTCACAGTACTTTAATGTCCATGCCACCTCACTACTTAAAAAAGGCATTTTAAATAGTTACACTCTTAATTTTTATTTCATTAAAAAATAATTTGCTTACAAACCCTTCTGTGCAAAGTTAACTTCTAAATCTAACATCAAGAAAGAACACATATTTTAATCAAAGTAATCCTTTTGAACTCATTATCCATAATGAAAAATTCAAGACTATTGTTTTTATTGCCATTAATTTTATCAACATGTTATCTGTCCAAGGATATTATATTAAAAATGATTACTGCTGAATTTGGGACTCTTGATGACTGAAATATATATTTTTTTGTGTATATAAAATATGCAAACAGATCCTTAGTGCAGGTGCTTGACAACAAACTTTCCACGAAAGGTCATATAGTGTGTGTGTATATATATATTTTTTTTTCAGTTTTTAAGACATATTTCTGTTGCAAATGTTAAGCTTTACTGTTACAGTACAGAAGCAGCCTCAAGCAAAATGAAATGAATGTAAAAACTGTGTTCCACTAAATATTATTTACAGAAAGTTGTGACCTGTCTGTCAGCTATTGCTTGTCAACCCATGCCCTCTCCATTCTCAGTTTTAATTTTTTTTTAAAGATTTATTTATTTATTTATTTATGCAAGCACTGGGTACAGTCAGAAGTGCGGGAGGGTGAGAGAATCCACCAGAGCCAGAGAGGGGAGCAGAGCAGGCAGAAGGACTGAAGTACACTGCTGAGGGGAGCAGCGGGCGGCAGGAGAGATCTGCGCGCCATGTGGGACCCTCCTCCAGTGGCCGGGGAGCAGCCGGGGATCGAACCCGCACTGCAGAGGCTGTGGGCAGCTTCGCAACCCAGCGCTCAGCCACTGCGCCACCGGGGAGGCCCTCTCAGTTTTAATTTTTATCTTAACAAAGATTTAACCAGTCAACAAAAATACCATCTTTTAATTCTGTATTCCCTTACAATTGCCAATGACTTTCTTCCCGTTATGCCTCAACTTAGCTTCTGAATGTCAACTTTGCTTTCTATACCTCCCCTTTTTTTAAGATTTATTTATTTATGCATACAAGAACTGGGGTACAGGTCAGAGTTGTGGGGGTGGGTGTGAGAGGATTCACCAGAGATAGAGTGGGGAACAGAACAGGTGAATCTACTGAAATACACTGCTGAGGGGAGCAGTGGGCGAGACAGGAAAGGTCTGCTGCTCCATGTGGCTCACCTCCCTAGACGGGAATCAGATCATGCTGCAGTAGCTGTGGATACTTCATAGTGCTGAGACTTAACCCCTTGCACCATAGGGAGGCTCCACTATACCCCTCCTTGACTGCTATTTAAATATTAATTCCCTATAAACTAGATTTTACTTCCACCATTCTATTAGTCTTTTTGGTCACCAATCACCCACGCACACACTACTTGCCAAAACAAGTGAACATATCCCACTATATTGATCACGTTCTCCTTTTTAAATCCCTGCTCACTTGGTTTCTCAGAAGAGTGAACATAACATATTCTATCATAAGGGGATAGTGTAAGTATTTCCCTATTTTATTCTCATATGTGTCCCAGTGACTTTCACTTCTAAGATAAAATAGAAAAAACCCAACTAGTACTCATACCTAAAATTGTAGAAAATAGAAAAAAAATATATAGAAAAGTAGTTTAAAATATATTGAGAGAGAAGTCTTCAGATGAGCACTGACTGGCATTATATATATATAACTGAAGCCTGCGAAACAATGGAAAGAACTTACATCTTAACAATATTGAATCTTCTCCTCACACATGGAATATTTTTCCATCTCTTTAGGTCTTCTTTGACTTTTTTCATCAGACTTTAATTTCCTTCACTTTCAATTTAGCTAACTTCTAATTAGGGTTCAGCTTAGCTCTCCCTTCCTCAAAAGCCTTTTCTGATATTCATTGGGTTGTTTTCTTCTTTATGTGTAAACATTACTTTTAGATTTTCTGATCATTATATTAATCACTACTGTAAATGTCAACTTAAGTGAATGTCTCTCCTTTTAGATCAAGATATTTAAGGACAGAGATCATGTATATCTATATCTGTTGCTGAAACCAGAGAACTGAGGTGATGCCTAATTCAAGGTTACATGGTAGACCCTCAATTATTATTTGTTCATTAGATAAGTAATGAAATAACTGATGGAAACTAGAGAAGGTAAATAAATGAAGAAATTAAGCAAAGGAAAAGTGAATGTAGAAAACACATGAATTTAGGAATTGCTTTAAAACACAAAATGTCTGTTAAGTCACTGCAGCTTTTTATAGCCTTGCATGACAATTTACCTTAGTTTTCTGGTGCTCAGGCAAAGATTAAAAAAATCAAATCAATCACTCACCAACTCAGAATATTATTAAGATATAAACCAAGAAACTATGCGAGGAGTTAAGAATTTCCTGGCACTGATATCTCTACTTGTGACTGTAATGCATCCCAGATATGCTATGAAATTTCCAGGACTTATTAGTGACATACCTATATTTTTCTAAGTTTCCTGGTGGTTATTGCTGAAGGGCATCTTGCAATCATAATAGAAGTCCTAAGGATTTTTACAGTCTTAATATTGATTTAAAGGGGAAAGTATCTATGGGAAACCTACCTGGGACTATGAATGGCCCCAGGCATTTCTAGCCCCTGGCATTGTCATCAGTGTCCTAAGACCAACACAAAACAGTATGTTTCTGTACATATGGTATAAGCCTACATAGTCCCTAAGGTCCACATTTAGGCAGTTATAGGTGTGAGGACAAATGTGGTTTTGGTGTTGGAGGAGAATTTTATAAAGCAGTGGTTCTTAAACAGCAGTATTCCTGTGAATTTATTAGATATGCAAATCTCAACAACCACCACAACAAAAAACTTCCCAGACTTTGTGAAAAAAATGGTGGTTACCAGGGGAGAGGGAAAGAAAGAGGGGAGGAAATAGAGGGGGTAATATCACAGCCTGTTGGCACTAAATCTTGGGCAGAGTGTGAGTGAAGGATATGCACACGTTGAGGTGTGAAGCTCTACTCCCCAAATGACATAATATTGTAAAAATGGCAAACTAATACAACTTGATCATAAAAAAATTGAAAAAAAGCAAAACTGCGAGAGAGAGAGAGAGAGAGAGAGAGAGAGAGAGAGAGAAAGTTCTCAGCCATACCAAAGACCTCCAGAATTAGAAATCCAGGTGGGGCCCAGCCTTCTATCTCTGATGTATCTCAAAGTTGGAGAAACACTGTTCGATAGTCATGGCTACATTTGTTAATACATTCATTTGCAAAAAGCTGTGGATATTTTCTTACAACTCTAAGTTCCAATGAAGTGTGTATGTCATATTGCAGCAAGTAAGACTTAATTAGAATCACAGAGAAAGCTTTTAATCTACTGAGACATAAATGGATAAAGCTAAAAACAGAACATGTTTGTGTTGATTATAGTGTGTCAACTTTTCAATATAGATGACAGTAATAGTCTATTCAGACATTTGTGACTGAGGTCTGTAAAGGATGTGATGTGAAATCAAATTCATATAACAAAAGAACTTCTAATTTTACAAAGAAAACAGAATCATTGCAACTTTGATGCTCTCATAGAAGTAGTAATTGATTCTATATCACGGAATATACTTCAAATAGTAAGTACCAAGATAATAACTATTTACATAGGTATATATAGTTTTAGTTTCTGGAAATTTGGTTTTTTAGATTTTAATTATAACTTTGATATTTCTTACATTTTCAAAGTTTCTTGAATTGTTATAAAAACAAAATATCTATGACATTATCCACTTCTACCCCTAATATGCATAGATTTAGAAAAAAAAACAAGTCATTCAATAAGTACAAATAGAAAGAAGAGTTAAAGATTCTATTACAATGCATGAATGGTAAAAATAGTTTAAAATTATGTGACTAGCATGTTTATAGCTACATAATACAAAAGAAAATTTGACAGTGACATATGACCAAAAATTCATGAAAATTTTGACCTAGTATAATTGTAAATATCATGTTATAGGATAACAATAGATAAGAGGTCTTAAGTGTTGGAAGTGATTTCAGGTGAATACTCATTTGCTATGAAATCTTGACATGGCCATTTAATGTACTTGGTTCTTCATTTCAAAAGAGAAAAGAAATGGAGGCAATTAGATTAGATGATTTCTGAGATCTCATCCAGGTCTAAATTGATATATTTATGTAAAATGCTAATTTAAACCTAAATAGTAAATTATTTAATAGTAAATTATAACTAGTAATTTTTTTAATATTTCACCATTTAGGTAAAACTCAACCTGAAATGTTGCAGCACTAATTCCTCTTGGGTTTATTGCATTTTAGTAGGTCTGTTTATTCAATACCAAATAGATTTTCAGCTCTGGAAGCTTGTTTTAAGTCTAAGGGCACATTAACAGACTTCATTTTTAAGACCTTTGTCTTTTCCTGATATAATATATCTAAGCATACTGCTATTTAGTAAAGAGTAGAAGTGGGCTCTGCTGTAGATACACATCTTAGAAAGAGCTATCTAACAGGCACTTTACCTTTGCAATTGACTTGAAGATTAATATCTAAACTTTATACATATAAAGTGAGCCATATGGAGGAGGCAAGAAAATATCATAAAGAATTTTATGGGATGCTTGAATCAGTTCAGAAATCTTATTACATTTTAGTAGAAGTCATTATTACTCAGCTACATGTTTTATGAGGCTTGTTATCATTTAATTATCAAAATAAAAATGGAAGAAGCATAAGCATTAAGTATATAAAATACATTATAAAACTCTAAAGGAAATGCTTTCTTTCTGTATATGCATTTGGGTAAATAAATGTTCTTATTTCTTCTTTAGCCTACAGAAACATTCTCATGGAGTCAGGC